GATAGCACGGCACCGTGTGTCAGGCGCGTATTAGGGGGGGGGGGGACGGTGGGGGCGATCGCTAGCCACTAGATAGCCGCCTAAAGGTAGGCAATTTGGCCTACAAAACCCCTGTATGTAGGCAACTTTTGATGCACCGCCCCACCTGTCCGCCCCCCTTAATACGCCCCTGCTGAGTGTGCGCCGTTCTACACCGCCGCGGGACTCACTTTGGCCGCCAGGTCGAAGATCTTGTCCTTGTCCTTCTTGTTGGGGTCGGGTGGCGGCTTGGGCGCGTCCGAGTCGCCGAGAACGATGTTGACTAGGCAGTACTCCATCAGCGCCATGAACACGAAACTGTGTGGGAGAGGAGGGGGAGGGGTCATAAGAAACAAATCAGCGAAAAGTCTAGAAAAACTGCAAGGAGAAACAGAAAAGCTGGTCCACGCTTGAATTTATAGTGAAGTACCTATCCATCGGCCAGGCCCATGGTGACCATGGCGCCCAGTACTCACATGGTGCACGCCGACATGAACGCGTCCACGGCCTTGAGGTAGGACACGGGCGGCAGCGAGGCCTGCGACTTGGCGTGCTGCGTGGACAGCGTGAGCAGCGAGGTGACGCCCAGCGTGACGCGCGCCGGCGCAGCCTCGGGCTTGATCCAGAACGACACCCACTGCGCACGGGGGCAAGGAAAGGAGGCCGTCAACGAACAGCGACGAGTTGCGTCTCTTCACCTCACCTCGCAGCTTTGTTTTTTGAAGTTCCCGCTCCGCTGCGCGCGCGCGACACGCGGCTTATGCTTAATACTGACCGACATGATGACGATGAGGCAGGTCGGGATGTACGTGTGGAACAGGTAGTAGCCGAGGCGCCGCTTCAGGACGAACACCACCTCGAGGCACGTGAAGTTCCCTGTGAAGCGGAACGAATTGCGTTCAAGATCCCAGAGAGTGAGAAATAACATAACTGTCAAAACGATGTAAAAAAAAAAAAAAGAAAAAAAAAAAGAAAACGATCGATTCGACGTTGAAACGATATCGAACGGGGGCGCACCTGTCGAGTACACCTGCGTGCAGTCGGCCGTGTTGTTCTTGATGAGCTGCAGCTGCGGCAGCTCAATGTTCTCGTCCACGACCAGGGGCACGTCCGGGTCCCACTGGAACACCATGTCCTCCGTGGTGTGCGACACTGTGAGGGCAGGGCAGGAGAATCGACATGGAAACGTCATCGAAACGATGCCATCGCATAGGAGGAGTCGACGTCGAAGTAACGATACTGCTTCGATATCAATAATTTTGATTCTTACTGGGTGGAGGCTGGGATAAAACCGAAAGCCATCAACGTGTCGTAACGGTCGTAACGATATCCTACAAATGTACTTCAAGAAAGCAAAGTCAACGTCGTTACAAACGTGTTGGTAAACTGCTCGCAAGGCGAATGGAATAAAACATGATTAATGATTACTTTTTTTATTTTATTTTTCTTCTTTCAAAACTCGTAGCGCGAGCAAGGGCGCCCGGGGAGAAGGCCAACAACATCCTGTGTGAGGAGGGGCCGAGTGTTGTGAACGCGGCTTGTTACAGCGCTTTATGGGAAGGGGACGGGGAGAGACGGAGGGGGAGAGAGGGGGAGGGAGAGAGCCACCCATGCCGAGTGGAGAGTGCTCAGGGTGTGCCACCTCCCCCGCGATGGAGCCCCGCGCTATTCGTCACCCCCTTGGTTTTGTCACACAGCCCTCTTCACAGCCCTGGTCTCGAGGGCAAAACGAGGGGTGGTTGTTGCAACAATTTCCCTCGCCACCACCCCCGCCGGTGCTCCTGGCCTTCCTGCTGCAGGCCCTCTCCTCGGCCACGCAGGGGCGGGTTCTGGTGGCTGTATACTCACAGCTTTCCATTTGTAGTTTGCATTCTTGTGTGTCGTGCGGGTAAATCATGAAGTTCATGGCACAGGAGAGCGTCAGCGTGAGCCTGGAGGGGGAGAGAGAAAGAGAAAAAAAAAATGTGTAAGCAGGGCACAAAGTAAACCACTTGAGGCACGGGTGGTGGGGCACATTCCCCCATTCCCCACGGCAACCGGTTCGTTCGCGGTCCTCGCGTCGCACTCGAGGGGCACTTCCATATAAATTAAAGTGAACTCCAATGTTTTTGTTTTATATATATTTTTTTTT